TAGATAGATAGATAGATAGATAGATAGATAGATAGATAGATAGATAGGTAGGTAGGTAGATAGATAGATAGAGAGATAGATAGAGAGATAGAGAGATAGATAGATAGATGAGAGTTCAGAAGAAATATGAAGCTCAATGTGTAGACTGAGAATCATCTGCAGAGAGATGATAGCTGAGTAGCTATCAGATGAAAGCAGTTAAGATTACTAAGAGTGAAGGCATAGAAAGAGAAGAGGGCCAAGGACAGAACCCTGGGGTACATCCATATCAAGGATACAGGACATGGGATAATGACCCTGCAAAGAAGACTGAGAAAGAACAACCAAAGAGGAAGGAGGAGAACCAGAGAAGAGTAGCAAGGACTACTACAGAGCTGTCTTTGAATGAGTACTTAGGAAAGGCCCTTGGATTTAGAAATAAAGAGATCATTGGTGACCTTGAAGAGGACAATTTTGGTCGGATAATGGGATTGGGAGCCAAAATTCAAGGGGCTGAGAATTAAGTGGGAGATGAAAAAATGGTGACAACCCCTTTTTTCCAAGTAATCTGGATGAGAGGAGAAAGGCAGGATGATAGTGTGAGAAGCTGGCAGAGTCAAGTAAAGGGGTTTTATTTGTTTTGTTTTTTAATGACATGGGGATACCTGGGCATATTTGAAAACAGAATAAAAGGAACCAGTGGGCAAGGGAGACATAAAAACATAAGTTGGGAGTTGGAAAGAGCCTAAGACCATTTCATTCCAAGCCCCTCATTTTTTTAGATGAGAAAACTAAGGCCCAGAGATGTTAAGTGAATTATCCTAGATCATGTGGGTAGTGACTGGCAGAACCAGGATCCCTCTTGCTCCAAATCCAGCAGGCTACCCACTGCACAGCAGTAAAGAAAGAACATTAGGGAAAGAAAGAGAATAATTGAAGGGGCAAGTTCCTAGAGGACAGAGGAGGGAACTGGTCCAAAGGCACTAGCAAAGAAGACAGCTTTAGCAAGAAGTCCAATCTGTTTCTCTAAGACTAAGGCAAAGGAAAGAATGGGAAGCTGAGATGAGGAGAGTTGGTAATTGAGAGAATATGAGGTATAGAATTAGAAAAAGGAGCTCAAAAAAGGTGACCTTATTTTTTTTCCACTAAAGTATGAAATGAGGAACTCTATTTAGGAGGGAAAAGAGATGTGATGTGAGTGGTTTGAAGAGAAAAGAGGTTTAGAACAGACACTGTGGGGAGTGTGGTAGTCAACCAGGGAAGAGTAAGAGAAGTAATGTGCAGCTGTGAAAGACCCAACTGAGATTACATAATACCAATTTGCAGTGGTCCCAGTCAGTACAATTGTGTGAGATGCTCCAGAAGTATTCGTTAGCACCAAGCAAGGGCAAAGAAAATGAGGGGAGGACATGAATTCAGCAATGGAGTTTGAAGAGGGGTGAGTTGTGTTAGCAGAAGGAAGGAAGGGACTCAAGGTTAGATGACTACTAACTACCAAGTAAAGATTCTGAAGGGGGCAAATGGTGATTGTGGAATGTATAGATTCAGCCTTCCTATCTTTCACCATAGATTAGGGGGAGAATGGTACCTCCCTAAAGAGGTAGCATGATATAATAAGAAGCACGCTAGATTTCAAGGCAGAGGACCTAGGTTTTTTATTTTGAATTTGCCCCCTTAGGACCTATGTGACCTTAGGCAAGTCATTCAACCTCCATAGACCTAAATTTTCTCATTTATAAAATGAGGGCATTGGACTAGATGATCTCTAAGGGTTCTTTCAACATTCAATCTTATTCTAAGGCTATATCTTGCACTTCTGCAACTTCTTTGTCCCCTTTAAAGTTATTCTCAATCTTCATTCTAACTTCATGTCACAGGAGGGGCAGGGGAGAGGGAAAATGTTATTTCCCCTAGGGACATTCACCCACTAGGAAAGGGGCTAGGAATTCACAGCCTAGTGAGCCTTGATTTAGGCACTCTGGATTCTAAATCTAGCTCTACTTTCAACTAAGGGGAAAGTCACTTGGGAAAAATTATTTTAACTCTCTGAGTCTTAGTTTACCCATCTGCCAAATAAGAGGGCTGGACTAGAACATGGGGTCTTAGACTGGGGTCCATGAATTTATTTTCACACTATTTTGATAACTATATGTTAATATAATTAGTTTTCTTTGTAATCCTACATATTTTATTAATTTAAAAATATTTTCCTGAGAAGGGCTCCATAAGCTTCACCAGACTTCCAAGGGCTCCAAAAGAAAAAGTTAAGAACCCTTGGTCCAGCAGGGGTAGGGAACCTGTAGCCTTGAGGCCACAAGTGGCCTTCTAGGTCCTTAGGTGCAGCCTTTTGACTGAGGCCAAATTTTATAGGACAAATCCTTTTATTATGGGGATTTGTTCTGTGAAGTTTGGATTCAATAAAAAGGCTGCACTTAGGACTTAGAGGGCCACATCTGGCCTCGAGACCACAGGTTCCCCACCCCTGAGGCTCTCTAAAATCTATGCAAGACAGCTAGAAGGCACAACAGATAGATTGCTGAACCTGGAATGAAGACAACTTGAGTTCAAATCTGTCCTCAGAAACTTACTACTTGTATCACCCTGGATAAGTTTCCTCATCTGTAAAATGAAGATAATAATAGGACCTACCTCCTAGGGCTGTTGTGAAGATCAAATAAGATAATATTTGAAGCCCTATGACAACCCTGAAGTGATATATAAATGCTATTTATTATTATTATTATTATCATTATTATTATTATTATTAATATACGAGGACCAACTGAGCTAAGTATTTCCCATGGGAGCCACTTGATGTCACTGTTAGGGTAAAACAAAGGTAGAGGAAAAAAAGAAAGGGAAAAGAATGTCAGAAAATAAAGGCAATGAAAATGGAAGAGAAAAGAAGAAGAAGAATGCAAATAGTAATAACTCACATCATATGATGCTTTGTAGCTAACAAATCATTTCCTCATAACAAACACTCACAATAAAAGGTGGAAGTTTTATTCACCTCTAGGTTACAGATGACGAAATTTACTCAAGAAAGTGGTGACCTGTCCATGGTAGCACATGTCTATGGTGGTCAACCAAGGACTCAGGCAAGATCTTCTGATTACAAGTTCAGTGTTAACCTATGAACAACCTCAGGTGGCACTCAGTAGCATCCATGCCATAGGTTGCCTGGTTTCTCTGACCCTATATGGAAACTCTTTCTTTGATGGTCCTTAAGAACAAGATATAAACCCAGTTGACTGCAGCTATGCTTGAAGATAGGAAATTGATTAGATTGATTCTCCATCTCTTTGAATATGAGGAACCTTTTTTAATGGCAAAAATGTTTATAGACTACATTCTGGTAGATACACTATTAATATATATTGCTTGAAAAATAAATATAAACACAGAAAATCTCTGATATATTCAGTAATACTTTTAAATGAGTCTGTATTCTATCATCCACAACAGCAACTACAAACTTTTGGAAAATAGCAATAAATATATTTAGAGAAATTGTTTGTTCTTTCTATAGAAGATATATCTCCTTATCTAACATATTGAGTTATTATGCATATTTTGTTGGAGATAAATAAAAACCAATTTTCGGTGTAACTATGGACACCATTACAATTACCCCTAGAGCTCCCTGAGGTTCACAGACCACAGGCTGGGAATGAAGAGACAACCACTTGAGGTCTCTATTAGTAGTATGTCTTAGTACCTCTCTCTCTTGTGTTTCTCCCACAGATGACTTAAATACCACCTGCAAAGACCCTGCAGAGATGGCAGGGTGGCCCTTGACTATGGCGGGGAACCCACTCAGATACAGATGCCTCACCCACCTGGACCGCCAGGACTATGCCTTCCTGTTCCTGATTGGTTTCTGCATCTTCTTTGGAGGCACAGTCGCAGCCTGGCTCACTGGAGTGTGTGCAGTTCTCTGTGAAAACATCCACCGAAAGGCTGAAGATGAAGAGCTTGATGAAGAAAAAAAGGATGATAGGCCCAAAAGGACCCAGATTTTTAAATCCAGTCATAAAAATTTTGATGCCATGAACCATCATTTTGTTTAGATGCCATAGACTAATGCCAGATGTGCCTTCCCTAAGGATCCCAGCTCTCTTTATTGCTCTTTCTCTCTCTCCTGTCTCTTTGATGCTGTCCTTGTATATGAAATAATATTAACAAGCTCAATGATTGCCATTTCACAGCTCCCTCCCTTCCCCTCTCCATGGGTCCATTTTTACTTGAGTTGGTTTACCAAAGGGTAGAATGGAGAAAGCCAAAAATCAACAAATCAAGTCAACAAGCATTTAAACTCTTACAATTTGTTAAGTACTAAGCTAAGCCCTGGGGATGCAAAGAATATCAAAAATGGCCTCTGCCCTCAAGGAGCTCATATTCTAATGGGGGAGACAACATGCAACCAATGACATCCAAACAATCTATAGACATAATAACTTGGAAGTGATCTACAGACCTAAGGCATTAAAATTAAGGGGGATCAAGGCTCCCTGTAGAAAGTGGGATTTTAGCTGAGACATGAAGGAATTCAGGCAACCCGGAAGCCAAGTGATGAAGAAGAGAATTCCAGGCACAAGGGGACAGTCAGAGCAAAGGCACAGAGTTGGGAGATGAAGCTTGGTATGCAAAGAATAGCAAATAAGCCAGTGTAGCTATATAGTAGAGTATATAGAGAGGAGTAAAGTATAGGAAGACTGGAAACGTAGGAAAAATTCAAGTTATAAAGGGTATGCTAAATAGAGTATTTTGTGTTTGATTCTGGAGGTAATTTTGAGGACTGGAATTTATTAAAGGAAGGGGTGGGGAACAACAAGGTCAGACATTTAGGAAAATTACTTTGGCAGCTTTGTGAAAGATGGATTGACATGGGGAGAGATCCATGAGAAAGCTATTGCAATACTTCAGGTGTGAACTGATGAGGGCCAGTACTAAGGTGGCAGCTACAGGAGTAGAGAAGTGGGTACTTGCATGCAAATTTAGATACTCTGGTCCCTGTTCATCTCATGAATCCTGTCGACAAGATTTGTTTAACTAACGCAAATTTGTTAAGTGCCTACTATGTACCAGGCATACATTCCAGGCATGGGAGACAGCCTGTGTAGATGTTGTATAGAAGGAATGGCAAATAAGCCAGTTTTCTGCAATATAGAGTACATGAAAGAGAATAATTTGCAATAATTCTGGAAAAACAGATTGGGGCCAGACTGTGAAAGGCATCAGAAACCAGACAAATGACTTGCCATTTTATCCTAGAGGCAAGAGGGCATTTAGGGATTCACTGGGACTTTTTGAACAAGGGAGTGTTATAAGTAGAACTATGGCTTAGGGATAACACTTTGGCAGCTGTGTGGAAGATGGAGAGGTGAGTGTTTCTCATGAGTAGCATTCTAGCCACAACTTCCCCTTCCTGTATATACGCAATTGATCTCACATCTGTCATTTATACCTAGTAAATTACATTTTATTAGCAGTAACTATTTTGGCCTCGAGATCTTTTTTGGAAACCAATATGCTATCTATTGTGTGTATCTGTGTGTATATGTATGCATACAAATAAATGTGTGTATCCATATATATGTGTATGTATGTATATATCATTTACACCTCAGAAAAACCCTGTGAGAAAAGTGCTATCAGCATTGTCATCCCATCAACAAAACCAAAACTGAGAGAGTTTAAGTGGTTTGCCAATAGTCACACAGATATTAGCCATCTAAAGCAAGATTCAAACCTGTGTCTTCTTCTCTAGTGTGTCGTCTAATCTTCAAGACTAATACTGAGGAAAAAGAGAAGACAAAGGAAGATCCTTAGGAAATATAGATTACCTAGGATTATGAAACAATAGTCATGCCTACACCACAATTTACAAGAAAACATTGCATTTTAAATTCAAATTACTATTTTATATACATCTACATGAGGAGAAAGAAGCAATGAAGAATGGACTTGTATATTCCATGTTTTGTTTTCTCTGTCCCCATTACACCAAGAATGGTGCCTTGCACACAGAAAGCAATAAGAAGTGTTTATTGGATTAGATTGGAACCAACAAAAATCCTTGAATTGTTCTTGAACCTCTTTGAATAGTCAAAAGAGATTCCATATCCATGAGCCCCTCTCAAGTCTCTTTAATATATAGGAGTGCTAAATCCCCAAGAGTAGGAATGAGTTTGAGGAGTCATGTAATCCAATCTCCCAACTAATGCAGCTGGGAAGCAACCTTTATATCCTGACTATATACTTTTTTTTCTATAAGGAAGACACATTTTTTTCTGTGGTTACAAGAATCGTTCAGGGCCAAGCAAAGCTAACAGGCAATTCACATTTATTCTACCCTTAGAATTCCACTCACATCTAGCTTCTGTCACTCCCCCAACCACACTATATTTCTAGATGTTGTCATCTCCCCACATAAGAAAAATTGAGCTCAATTTATCAAAAAGAATAGTCATTTCTCAGGGAAATTAATTCAATTTCTCAGGGAAATTAAATCAATCATTTAAAAGGTTTCTCACTTTGATTTTATTTTTTAATTTTTTTTAAATTAACTAGCATTTATTTTCTCTCCCTCCCATGTCCCCTACTACTGAAAAAGAAAGAAGAATAAAACCCTCATAACAAATTTGCATTCAAGCAAAACAAATTTTGAAATTGGTCATATTTGAAAATGTGTGACTCATTCTGCATCCATCACTTTTCTGTCAGAATGTGAGTAGCATGCTGTATCACTGGTACTCCAGAATTACAGCTGGTCACTGCATTGGATCAGAGTTGTGCAGTCTTTCAAAGTTATTTGTTTTTACATGGTTGTATAAATCATCTCTTAGTTCTGCTTGTTTCACTTTGTATCTGAAATCATTTCTTTCCTCATTCCTGATAGCACAATAGCATTCCATTATGTTGATGGGCCATAATTTGTTCAGCCATTCCCCAACTGATAAGCACCTTAGTTTCCATTTGGGAGGAGGGGGAAACCTACAGAAAGAGTTGCTATAAATAGTTTTGTACTTATGAATATTTTTCCTCTTTCTTTGATTTCTTTGGGGTACAGATATCATGGTGATATTTTGGAGTCAAAGTTGAGTGACATTTGGGGCATAGTTCCAAAATGCTTTCCAGAATGACTGAACCAATTCACAGCTACACCAACAGTATGTTAATTTGCCTGTTGTCCTGCAGCCTCTCCAATTGGATGGGTATGAATGAAATCTCAGGGTTGTTTTAATCTGTATTTCTAGTGATTTTGAACACTTTTTCCTATCTCTATCAATAGCTTGGATGTCTTCCCTTGAGAATTGACTACTCATGCCTTTTGATCATTTATCATTTGAGAAAGGGCTCCTAGTCTTACATATTTAAGTTAGTTTCTTATAATAGTGGGGAAATGATTCCTCCATCAAAGAAACTTGCTGCAAAGATTTTTTTCCATTTTGATTTTAACATGGGTCTTATTCTACAGTCCTTATCCCAGTAAATTGCCCTAATACTTTGAGATTCTAAATCCAGCCACTTAGACTGGCCACCTAGTTGCTAGTATTTCACAATATGAACTTTCTTGATCTGAACTCTCTTGTCTTAATTGCCATTAAGACTGTAAAAAATTATCTCTTCATTGCAAGATATCATACAGTGAGGGGTGTGTACTAGTGACCTGTCCAGAAAATTATGGGCCAGACATTACTGGGGTTTAAAAGGAACCAATCTGACTTTTGGAAGGCATGGGAGCTGTGCTAAGCCCATGGCAATAGTAGGATAAAAATATTTAAAAGAGTTATTTAGTTTATCAGGTAGGACACATATTTAGGTCATGAATGGATGAATAAATAACAAAGTATTTATTAAACACTTAATAAATGCCAAGTGCTGTGCTAAGCTCTGGGGATACAAATGCAAAAGCAAGAGAAGTAGGCATCTGAGGCAGAATTCAAACCTAGGTCTTCCTATCTCCAAGTGTAACACTAAGAAGTAGGACAGAGAGAAGGAAGAGGAGCAGAAAGAGGAAAAGAAGGAGAAGAAAAGCCCCTGTCCTCAACAGGCTTATATTGTAATAGAGGAAATAATGCATATAGGGACCTGGTAACCTGGGATGAGCACTTTAGTTTGAAAGTTACTGGGATGGTGAGTAGGGCCATGTTGCTGTTCAGTTGTTTCTCGGTTGTGTCCAACTCTTCATGACCCCTTGGAGTTTTCTTGGCAGAGATACCGGAATGGCTTTCCATTTCCTTCTCCAGCTCATTGTACAGATGAGGAAACTGAGGCAAACAGGGTTAAGTGACTTGCCCAGGGTCACACAGCTAGTCTGAGATCAGATTTGAACTCGGGTCTTCCTGACTTCAGGCCTGGAGTTCTATCCACAGCACCACCTAGATGCTTGAGTAGGGCCATAGGAGAGTAGATTGGCACATCCCATCCAAGAACAATAACAGCATTGATATAATCAGAACTGGATGAGAGGAAGAGGGAAGAGGCACTCAAGGGGCTTCAATAAGGCTATAGAAGAGGTGGCCAGAGAATAATAAGTAAAATGAAATGTGGCTGGAGCTTTTTTGAAATAATATTATGGGAGAAGCAGTCACCAATCAGGAGATCAAGACCCCAGGATGAAAGTTCCAAGTCATCTAATTAATATCTAAGAAAATAAAGTTAGATATGTAAGTTGGAATCTGCATTATGGACTTCTGAAATTAAAGTTCCCAATTAGTAAAGTGAAGTTACTGCTGCCTGCTCTCCTTTGATCTTGGGAATTCTGCAAAGATTATGCATATAGCGTGTCTCCCAAAAAAAGCAAGTATCTTTCACTTCTTTTACATTCTCTTAGGTTCTCAAATACTTCTGGAACTGAATTCTAAGCCACATTTCTCAATTGCCTATTCAGTATTTACTATTTATTATCAGATCAACTAGACCACACATGAATTCAAAGCAAAAGTATTTAATTTAACAGAAAATCAAGGTAAATACAAGAAAACTTTCTCCTGTGCATAAAGAGGCACACTCTCTCACAGATTCACATTGTCCCAGTAAGAAAGGGGAGAAGAAACACGTATAG